AACCCCTGAATGTAGAATTTCGAAAGTTAGGTTGAAATTGAAATATAAAAAATAATGAAAAATAATTTGCTAACTTCAAACTTAACAACACTAGACAGCGCTTATCATAATCTGCCTATCAATACTACTATTAGTAAAAAGATAAGTGCCTATTTGACAAAAAGGGGTAGTCAGTTTTGATCTCTGAGTTCATAATCAACAAGGAATGATCCAAACACTTCAGCTTTACAACCTAACTTGAGCCTCAATTAATCAATTATCAGTTTTAATACTCCCATTTAAAAGAATAATGACTAATAGTAATCATCAAAGGTTATCAAAAATAATATTCAAACTCATAAAGTTATCTCAATAAAAAGAAATAACAAACTTAACCAGACTTTTACCGATATTCCCTCATAGAGATTTTAAGTAGGCAGCAATTTAGAATCATAGATTGCTATAGATCCTCTCAAGACAATGTCGACACTTAAAATATTTGCAAAGACAGGCAATCATAAGGTTTCAGTTATTGAATACGACAACGAGAAAATGAATTCAAAAGTAAGCACTCGCTTTATTGAGCAGTGGGTAAATGAGATTCTCACTGATTGTCAAGATCTTAACATTCCTGGGACTATTAGCAAACCAGAGCACAAATAGCCTTTGTCTAGATATGGCATGGATAGAATGCATCTTACAGTAAGTTCTTCAAATTAATATTTTTTTGTTAGAATTAAGGCATACCTAATGATCTGGTCAACAGAATATATAACAGCCTATTTGTGTACACTTTAGGTTTTTACAGTTTAATAAAAGAGGCAACTAAAAATATAATTGATGAGCGAATCGCAACTCAATCCAAGATTTGGAAAGTTTATCAGATACTTCTAGAGTATTGCTGCAGGACTGACTACTTAATGATCACTTAATAGAGTAAGTTAGAATGATTATAAAATGTAATAACTAGTTGAGTTGGTAAATTAGCAATAGACTGAGGAGACTGAAGGCAAGTACAAAGATACCATTGAGAAGTTAGAAAAGGTTGAGAGCGAACTCAAAGGTGAAATGAGAAGACTTTAGACTAAGTACGACGATATATTAATCTAGAAGAATGAGGAAAAGGACTAGAAATCAAAGCTACTTTAAGACTTTCAAAAGACTACTTAGAAGCATGAAGAGGAGGTTTAATTGAGGCTATATTTTGAATCTAAACTGAATTCTCTTCATCATGTGAATAGAGCACTAACTACAAAAGTAAGTCTAAATATTTTTGCAATCTACTCCTTTAGTTTAAAAATCAAAAGATGAAGCTTTCAGACTTAATGATCAAGCATAAGGATTTATAAGTATTACAAGATTAAACCAAAACAGAGTTAGACAAGACAATAGAAGATAATTTCAAGCTGAGGAAGTAAGTTGAGGATTTTATCATTAAGTAAGAGGCAGCTGATGAAAATATCTAAGATCTAGAAATGAAACTCAGAGAAACTGAAGGTAACCACAAGTATGCAAAAATGAGACTTGATAGGGCTAAGTAAGATTTGGAGTTGTTACTAAAGGATAAAAACAGACTGGAGATGGATTTGCAGAATCTGCGAAACTTTGTTGAGGGTAGAGTGAATGAGCATTCCAATGTGGAGTCGTATCTAAGTTAGGTGACTGTGAGGAAAGATGAATTGGAACAACAACTGATGCAAGTAAAAATGATAGAGGACAGGAATAGGAAAAAGATTCAATTTTACAAGTCAGAGTTCACTGGATATGACTTATCTAAATAGTAGTTAGAAGGACAAATTAATGAGCATAGGACTGAAATTAGAGAATTACAGCAAAAAAAATTAAAGCAATAAGACAAGATAAAAAAGAAATAGCATCAAGTACGTGATTTGAAATAGTAACTTGAATAGTTAAAATAGGAAAATGCTGAGATAAATGGTAAAGCTAATGTATAAATTCTAGCAAGACATGACTGTGAATAGAAACTCCGACTTTAGTTGATTTAAACAACTAAACTTTTAGAATAAAACGAATAACAATCTGAAGAGATCAAGAACATGAAGTAGACTTTGAATGATCTAGAGTATAAGCAGAGCCTATTCAACGTGGAGAAAAGCGAGCTGGACAATTATATATCTTAATTAGAGGCTGAACTTGAGGCTCTCAAGGAAAAGTATAGTGAGAACAATAGAAACTTAAAGTTACAGGCATTAAATGAAAAGGATTCAAGAGATGGATGGAAAGATAGATACGAAAAGTAAACAGACAGTCTGATGAATGCAGAGTCAATGTTGAACAGCACGAGGCTAGAGTTGCAGGAAGTACTTTTAAAGTATAAAACACTAGATAGGCTGATTCTAGATGCAAACTAATTAAGAGATGCTTTTAAGCATGACAGAGACTCGATGCTAGTTAGAGTGAATGAAGCTACAATGTATATTGAGAAGCTTGAAAGGGAACTGAATACTAAGAGAAAGATATTAGAGGATTATGACGCTATAAAGAAGGTTGAAGTTAAAGAACTAATGGTAAAAGTAATTGCCTTTGAAAAACTTGTTCCTAGATTATAGATGACGATTGAAGACCATGTTAGTGATCTTGTAAGATAGAGGGAGAGGCATATTATGCTTTTGGAGGAGAAAGATAAAATACTTATTAAGATTAGGGATATTCAGACTAGAAATGACAATCTCAGACATACTAATTAATAGCTTTTAAAAGATAAGAACAAATTGAATGCTAGAAGTAACGAGCTTAATGATTAGTGTACTGATTTAAAGGAAAATTTAAAGGAGCTCGAGCAAAAATTGAGCTCTTAGATAAAGATAACTGAAAATTTAGAGACTGATGTGGACTGGTACAAAATTGAGAAGGCTAGACTTGAAGAAGAAATAGATAGTAGGCGAGGTTAGTTTGAGTTCATGAAGATTGAGCTTTAAAAGTACAAATCAGTGATAGGGTTACTAGAAAAGGCCGATGCAGGTACATAAATAGGTGATCTAAGGTCTGATAATTCAACTTAAACTGAAATGACTTTTGAGAAAGGTAGAATGATTGTGTACTAGTAAAATGGTCCTGCTCTGAATAAAAATAAAAATCCATCAAAAGAAGATTTGGAAAGTGACAGAAAGTTGAAGCCAATGTTCCAAAGACAGCCCACAGGGAATTATAAGAATTCGGGAAGTGGTTCAAATATTCGACCATATAAAGGACTGAAGCCAGATTTAATATTGGAGGAGGGTACACATCTTTCAATAGGTGAAGACTCCTATTCTTTAAATACAAACAGTAAGAACAGTAAGGGAAGCCGCAATAGTTAAATGTTTAAAAGAGCAGTAACTTAGCATAGAATGAGTAGAAATAGCGTGCTTTTAAACAATTCCAGTGGAAAATCAAATATTGTGGATCCTTACCAAGATTTGCCACATTAGGCCATGAATCAGACGATGACTAATATGAACTCACACTATGTTAACATAGAGATCAAAAGGAGGAATGGCATGGGAGAGACAACAATTGATCTTAGCCAAAGACTTAATACTGCTAACAAATTAACTAATCCCACTTCGTAAGTTATAGTGTTTAATAATTAATACTGTCTAGTTCTGAGAGAGCTTCTTCAAATCAAAGACCAAGATATCATGAAGGGGAAGTAATAAAAAGATTGCTTAAGAATGCGATTATCAAGAATCTTTGAATTTAAAATAAAAATGATATATACTTATTGTAAGCTATGTGAAAGCATTAATCTTAATTTCATAACATTCAGTTTATCCAATTATATTTGCTATTCGGGGTTTTGGGGTTTTGGGGTTTTGGGG